TCATTGGCTAGATTCAGCCTCCCCTGCAGAGGTGCTGGTGGGAAAGACTTGTACCATGCCACTAAGCTAAACCCCCAGGCATTAGTTCAGGGAGCTTAACACAAAAGTCTTCAGACTTAGACGTTAATTCCAAATTCTTGATTGCATATCCTTGTCATTCAGTCGTGCACACAAGTGATCCTATAATCTTATCAGTTGATGGGTGTCTTTCACAGACCTTCACACTCTGCACTGAACATTTTCCTGAAGCTGAGCAGAAATTTCAAGTTAAAAGAAAAAAACTAGCCGTGTGTTCCTGGACTTCACATCCCCCAGGCAAGGGGATAATATATTATATTATAACTGTGCATAAGCATCGTACCGCTGCACTTGCAACCACTGTTGCATTCCTATTTTCAAATCTTGCTAAAAATGTGTGTTTGATGCCCGTAGCAGCAACAGTAGACAGTACCACATGAGGACATGTCAAGGCTTGCACCCATGGCTGACATTTCAGCGTTCAGCTCAGCTGACTGGCTGTCACGATGGAGATCCAGACCCACATTCGCACATACGCTCAAGTGCCTGAATGTTCACATAATCTAGATGCTGGTAGGAAAATTGGGGATTGAAGGATCTCACAAAAATAGGCATATAGATAGATCTGACATATATGACTGCACTCACGGTGCAGCTAGTAGGTTCACTGGGTCCGCGTGCCAGTGAGGAAATAAGGGATTGACTGATTTTATGGTTAACTATTTTTAGTCAGAATGATGGATGTTTATGTTCTTTATTGATCAAGCTGAGGTGTGGGTTTGAAAAATTCCCGGACGTTTGGGCGTGCTGATTAATCAGGTAGCAGCTGTGTTCGAATAAAACATTTTACATTTTGGGCGCATTAGCATTATTGCTAAGTATTATAAATTAGAAAATCAGCATTTCATTGCGAATTCAGCAATACATTAGCATCTGGTTATGTCCGTGATAAATTACACCCTTATCATTTACACGATTTCTTACTACTGTGTAAGCAAATCTCTTAAGAGTGTGTAATTATAATTTATACAAATTTCACTCCGAGGTTGCATAAACTTGTTGATTGGGCAAAGCCATTTCTGCGGTTTGGCGTGTATTTGTGTGTGTGCTTCTAAGCAACAAAATGACTATTGTGAGCACAGCTCCAGGTGCCTAGCAACCAAATCGCTGTTTCCTTGGCAACAGTTGCCTTGCACTCACTGTGTGGGTGATTGGCAGCCTTGACAACGGAGACGGAGTGACACTTGACCTCGCGTGCTGAATGGGAGAGGAGAAAGAAGAAGCGAGAAATAGAAGAGAGGGGGAGGCAGTGGGAGGGGACGTGCAGAGACAGAGAAGGGACTAAGTGATAATCATTCTCCATTGTAATCATCCTCCAGCATGTTTCATAAGGCGTCGTCAATACCTCTCCAGCTGGGGTCCATCATCAAACACAATACACAGTACAGTGCTCGCATGCATGGACACACTCTTCCTGGGTGGAGAGCCCAAGCAGGCACTCCACATCTCATCTATTATCACTCAGCCCTGCCTGGTGCACAACCTTGCTGCGCTGTGTCTTCTTTCATTTGTGATCTGCTACATCCTCCACTCCGTGGGGATGAATGGATACTGGACTCCTAAAATGCGTCACGGTCACAAATGCCACAAGACAGTAGATAAGGAGCTGCACACAGAGACGTTTAATTCCAAATAGGTGCCATCGTTGTCTTTGGAACATTTAAATTACTGTAATTGATTAAATCAGCGTTTTGGTTTTCTCTATCTACCCTTTTGTTAGCTGAGGGAGGGTTTCATTGTGCTGTGCGGAATTTCCTATATATCAGAAATCATATTTTTGACTCTGTGTTTAAAGATATCAAAGGATCAAAACTGCACAAACTCCAAAAAAAACAACCTGTTTTGCTTTTAGCGCGAAGCATACTGTACAATACAAACCCAGTTTGATGAAGGCTCTGTAAAGTTGTGTAAATGGCCAATTAAAAATGAAATGCAATTATTTGACGATCATAATGGTTCCAACACTTTTCAAAAAAGCTGCAACAAGGTGCTGTTTGCTGCTGTTGTATTTTTTAAACACCTCTCTGTAAACATTTGGGACCGAGGAGACCATTTTTAAAAGCAGGGTGTTTTACATTACTTGCTTACATTAAGATTTTAGCAGTTACAGGCTTCTTTCTTTTATATTTTTCTTTGTTTCATAGTGTGCCAAATGTTTATAGTAGGTGACAGCTCTGGGCTGCAGGCAGTTTTAGCACCAGGACTCTGTTATCACACAGCATTGCAGTTATAATACATATTGAATGTGGTCTGGCATTGTCTTGCTGAAATAAAACAAGGCTTTCCCTGAAAAGATGTTGTCTGGATCGAAGCATATGTTGCTCACTATTAATGGCACCTTAACAGATGTCATTCGCAGAAACGCCTTCCCTTTGGATTACATGCTAATCACAAATCAGATCACATCCCTCTTCTCTTATCCAAGATGATTTTTTAAATGTGTTTCTCCTTTTTTTTTCACATGGTAGTTTTAACCCCGATTTGTGGGTGGAGTGATTAACTATATTTTCTAATAATGGTTTCCTAAAAGTAGCTGTGCCGATTGTGTATACACTTTTCTGTGGATGCTCTTAATAATATCATATACCATAAATTATAAAAATCCTAAAATGATTTCTCCTGTGCAGTCTGCATCAGTGGTGAACTCCCTATGTTTGCTTCTAAGATGCTAATTGTAACCATTCATGTTACTAATTAACCTCATGAGCACTGATGCGTTATTAATATTTATGCAGTGATTCTATGTAAAGCCTACGGTGTAGCATATGCAAGTTGCCGACGCCCTTTCCAGCATTTACATCTTTATATAAGTGTTTGCCGTTATGCCGTATGTACGGTGTGGATTAAACACACGAGTATACGACCACTGTGAAACTGTGCAAAACACAAAACATGTTGCTGCTGTCCAATTCAAAAAAATAAAATTTTTAATTTTCATCATTCTGTTGTCTTTGTACCATTTTTAATTAAAACTGCCTTTCAAATTATTTCAATGATAATAATTTGAAATTATAAAATGGCCTTGTAAATAAGTTTGTTTTTTAACAATGTGGGGAAACATCTTTCAATCATTCAACCTTTCAAGGAAGCAAATCTCTTCTAATTCTGCTTGTACACACACACACACACAGTCATGTCGGTTATCATTTTACGTTTCTGTTATTCTGTTGGAATATTTTAATATCACATAAAATATATATGGTGGCAAGCCTAATTACTTTAACAATTGTTAGTAAAAAACTAATTAAGTCATCTGTCTGTTTGTAGAGCCACCGATTGCCATAAAAATGTTACAAGAAAATAATCACATTAATAAGCCAGACTTTAACAGGGTTGTGTGTTTTTTCTCATTAAGATCTGGACAATGTGGTGTATTTGGAGGCAAGCCCACACACACACATTCTTGCTTCCATAAATACTTATTAGCACCCCAAGTGTTTATGAACATGTGGGTGAAAATCCAAGAATTTGTTTTTGTAATATTTACAAAGCTACAGTAGCATGCTGTTTCTATAATTTACAGAGTATTTCTACAAAACGAAACTGCTTCTTCCCATTAAACGGCAGACGTGAGATCAACAGGACAGGTAAGTCAGAAAACATAACATACTGCTTGGATTTGGAATTTTCATCAGATTTGTGGAGCGTAATAAGAAATGTAATAATGATGGGGTTACCCTTAAGTCTCTACCGCAGGATCAAAATCAAACATATCCATTAAGTAAACATTAAACAAACAGCTCTGATTCATGATACCCAAAACAGATGGCTGTGTAGGAGAGCGTCATTGAGTATAAACTACTGACTTCAAGGCATCGAAATGCTGCACATTACTGCATATACATGCCCATTAAAAGAACATTTATGCATCTTAAAATTATTTTATTTCATGAACATATAACCTAAAGACATCAGAAACAAAAACTGAATGGATTAAAAACATTTCAAAACTCATGAACTCAGCAGCTCAGCATGAATCTTGAACATCTTGTTCCTCTCTAGAGTGGAATGACCTAATGCTGTGACACAGATGTCTGAGTGACTGCATTATGACCAGAATCTGTAACATCATACTTAAATCTGAGTAATCATTATAGATTACACATACACATACACACAAAGCTCATGATTAGCTATTTCAGTGACATTTTCCAGCACTGCAGTTGGACTGAACAAACATCCGGCTCAGGATTCCTTGTACCAAGACTGTATAAATCATTAAAAAAAAAAAAGACAATTTTTACTCTTCAACTAGATCGTGTTGCTTGTGTCAGACTTTGAAAAACTGTAGGAATAATACTCAAGAGTTGTCCATTTTAAAATCAACCTACTCACCATATTCGTAGTTTCTTTCATGATACAAATATTCATATTAAAATATTCAAATGCTAAGATGTGAATATGTTCCCTTGCATAATCTTTTGTATCTCTTAGATATCTCTAGCAGTTAGAAACTAAATACCTGGAAGCATTTTTTCAATGCAAAATACTTTATTTTAAAAGAATGGACCTAGATGATCACCAATAAGGTCCCCCACCCACCCACCCAAAAAAGAAGCTGTATTTTTAAAACAGACAGCTCTGCTAAATGTGTAAAGATAAATCCTGGTACACTGCACAGAACAAATTATGTAATAAATCTCAAGAGTCAAAACTAGAGTTGTGAGCTGAAACCTTAAACAGAAAGGGGAGAACTCTTCACCACCTTTCTGACAGGTGTAGAGACAAAGCGCAACATGTCATACTCTGAAAATCAGGCCCGCTAGAAGGAAAACAGCCGGCCTCACAATGTGCAACAAAATGCCTGTAGCTAGCTAAAATAGATTAGATTTTACTATCAGGTTAATTATTGTAGCATCCATGTCTAGTTAGCTGTTAGAAAGTTAATGCCAGGTATGTGTCGGCAACAGAGTACCCACAAATTTGACATTTGGATATTTTATTTATCAGTAGTTGCACATTTTCTCCCATTTCTGCTGCTGATTCAAGCTTTTGTTTGGCAGCTTATAAAGAGTTCAAGAACCTGCAAAGTGGCCATTGGGCAATTGACAGCTTTTTGTGAACAGGAACAAATGACAAGCATGCATCAAGCAATGCAAAACGAAAAAGAAAAAAAAAGGTTTTCCTCTTCAGTGTGGGTAGAACTTAACTGCGCTCTGTTTCTAACCATTTTCATGAGTTCTATTGATTGGCTGCTTCACAGGCGTCTATCCAATCACTATACACATCAACTGGCTCTGACAGATCTGAGGAAGAATGGATTAAGGATAAAAAAACGATGCTGTTGCTTAAAAATAAAAACATCCACAGACAGAGAATGACGTGAACTTTAAAAATCAATACAAAGTTCCAGTTATTACAGTGTGTTTGAGCAAATCACATTCTGAAGCCAGGTTATTTATTGGAAGTAAAATAAACTAATTAACATTTTCCAAAGGTCTCCTGCCTTTCTAAGCTTGTACCACAACATTTTTATTACTCTGATAAAATTAAACAGTTCCTCATATTGGTCTCAGACAACACGAAGATGGAAAAATGACGTGAGCTGCTGTTGTTTAAAGTATAACAATATAGTTTGATTATATAACCTTTATTTAAAGTCAGCCTACCACCTCTTTTTTCTTGATAATGTAACCTCATCTCCCAGCTGTCAACAACCAAGTATTTCAGTAATTTGATATCATTAAATTGCTCATATGACCTACAATTAAGCTCTCAAGATATCTGATTTAATCTATGTGGTTACTGTGGCCAAGTGAAAACAAGATAACGGTATTATTTTTTGATCTACTAAGAATTTTTAAAACCCCAAAACAAATACTGATTTAGTTATGCACCAGTTAGTTTTTAGGTGGACTTACTACATAGTCAACCTGAGATAAGTTAGAAGCTATGGTCACATGCACAGTATATGAAGGCAAATGCTGACATTGACATTTAAGACAGGTTTCCTAAGACGAGCTATTAGTAAAATATATAGGGCCTCACAAAGAAAGAAAGAAATGACCAACAACCTGACCACCTGCATATGTATGACCAAGGTTTTAGCCGAATGCCACTCTATATTATTCAAAGAGGCAGTATACAATGAATTAAGCTCAATACAGCCAGAGTTTCTTTGCTTTAATGTGCTTGTCAAAACCTATAACCCTAGATAACCACTGTTGTGATGCACGTTATAAACTTTCTCCATTAAGAGTGTTCTGCTTCAGGCTCTGTGGGCGCTCACATAAAATCATGTGGATTTTCTTCCACGTGAAATGATACCTGTGAGTGCCACCTACACTTCACAGATGTTATCAGATAATGACAATACAATGCTGTCTAAAAATCCGCCAAGAACATAAAACATATAACAGTAAAGAACAAGACCGGTACAAAAGAAAAAGTCTGGAGATTATTCCTGCGGAAAATCTTGGGATTAATCGCACAGAGCGGTAAAACAAACACTTTAAATTAAGTTAATTATATAATAACTGCTTGAGCCTCAGTGCCATTTTAACCCTATGCCACAACCTTCTAGGTAACTTGATGTGCACCTCCAGAGAAATGCAACTAAATGTCGGATCAACGCATATCACGATTACTTTGCATGGTTGCAGTGCAGGGATAAAATGAGTTTCTGGTTACAACGTAAGCTAGGACGTAGATTTCCTGCAGAAGAATAAATCAATTTTAAGAATAATTGAATTTTACATCAAAACTCTAAAGATAACCTGGCTTTCAACCAGGTTGTGTGTTCAGCATAGGTTTTTATCAAGGTAAAACGAGATCACTTTTGTGACACAGAAAACTCTGACTTTAAGCGCAACATAGCTCACCAAGCCATTAAACTGGTTTTATAGTACATCCCTATGAACTTCTTTAACCCCTGAATAATGTATGAGCTAATATTTTATTTTGTCAAACTACTTTTCCTCATATAAAAAATTAATTTAAATGTGCAAAGATAATAAAATAACAAGAAACTGCTCTGCCTTATATTTGCTTTGCTGCTGTATGAGAAAGAGAGCTGCCACCTAAAACTCAATAAGGATACAGGTAATGGGGGTCTGGAACTCCTCCAAGCAGACTGTACATGATATTATCCCAGTGTTTCTGCTTCTCTCCCTGTTGAAAGACAAAGCGAGAAGAAGCGTCAGAGACCACCGATCACCTAAGAAATCTACCTATGAACCATAGACCAGGTGCGTTTAGGTGGGCACTATACATTTTGACATCACATGACTTCTCGTGGTTGCAGAAAGGACATGTGAACTGAGTTTCCAGATCCCCCGTCATCTTCTTCTTTGGAGGAGGCTTTCTTTTGGATTTGCGACGACCCATTGTACACAAAGGGAATCGAGTCTGAGTGAAAGAAACAAAAATCACACTGCTTCAACAAAGACGGCACGTACACTGGACCAACAGCACCATATATATGTGAGAATACTTGCTAAAAGAACAACACCAGCTGCCAGTTGCTGCTGGTGCCCCACACTGTTGTTAACAGGCTAACGTTAGCATGTTTGTTGTTGCTCTCTCGTGCAATACAAATCGTCTCGCGATAGAAAAAAATACTTAATGCTATATTCTATTTCATTATACCTCAACTATCCCCACATATTAAACACACGATGACCGGTAAACGTTATGTATTAATAGTTTACGGGTGTTTACCTCTTCTTGTTGAAAACACACGTTACCGTTTTGCGGAAACGGCTTCCGTTGGCTTCAGCACCCGTAACTCTTCGCGTTACGTAATTGGAGAAGAGTGTGAGCGTCGTGGCTTGCTATTGGCTAGCTGACGTGTCTGTTAACTACCTGATAGTGACGACAAAGATCTTGGCGCTGCCTATTCCCACGTGGTGGCGACAGAAGCTTGTTCAGGTTTGCCTTTGTTTTCTAAAGAAATAAAATAAAATAAAATAAAATAAAATAAAATAAAATAAAATAAAAACCTCAGTTTTGCTGTTTTGACATGCTCCACATCTCGCAAGGCTAACACTGGTCAAATGTGCTTGCGTGCGTCGATTTCTAGTCAGCAACAGTAGCTCAACACTGTTAAGATGCTGGTTTGATTCGCTCAGTTCAGCTTGGTTAACCGATTAAGGGAGCTAATTTGCACTCTACTGGTTAAAGCCGAAAACAAGGTGCAGTGAACAACAGTTTGTTTGGCATATTTGTCACACTTACATGTTTCAGATCATTTTTGAAATTCTTAGACAAAGATAACCATAGTAAGGGTATAAAAGCCTGACATCTTTAAGAACTGCAGTACTCTAATCAGACTGAGATAATTCCTGTTGTTTCTTATTTGGCGCTCATGGGCATGTGGGTGTGTGTTTTGTGTTTTACCTTTTATAAGATATTGTTTGTTTTATTGTTGTTATAATTATTTGTAATGTAACCTAGCACATGACTGGAGGTGAAAATTAGCTTTAAGCTAACTCTGATATAATGTGTCATAATGGCAACATTTATGTTAATATTGTACATCATTTATTTTCAAATAAAATCAATAGAGCATATAGTAAAATAACATTTTTAAATTATAATTTAATTTATTAAAGTGGGTAATTATCTAAACCCTACCTGGCCCTGTATAAAAAGAATAATAGCCCCAAAGTCTAATAACAGTTTTTTTCACCCTTGGCATCAGAATTCGAATTCGAATTCAATTTTATTGTCATTGCACATGTCACAAGTACAAGGCAAAGAAATGCAATGAGGCGTTTGAGATAACTGGCAGTGAGACTTTAACTTTGCTGTAGAGGAATTTTGGCCAGCTCTAAATTCAGCCAAACAGAAGGGTTTTCAAGCATAAACAGTCTAAGGTCATGTCAAAGCATCTCGATTTGCTTTAAATCTGGACTTTGGAGGTTGACTTGCTGATATGTTTCAGATCATTGTCTTCCTGCATAACCTAATTGCACTTGAACTTCAGGGCATGAACTGATGGCCAGTTCATTCTCTTTCAGGATTTTCTGGTAAAGAGGAGAATTAATGGTTCAATCAATTACTGCAAGTCATCTAGATCCCGAAGCACCAAAGCAACTCAAACCATCACACTACCACCACCATGTTTGACTGTAGGTATGATGTTATTTTTAATGAACTGCTGTGTTATATTTACATCAGATGTAACAGGACCCAAACTGTTGTCTCATCAGTCTACAGAACATTTTCCCAAAAGTCTTTGAGATAATCAAGATCTTTTTGGCAAATATGAAACAAGCCTTTGTGTTCAAGCTACATGTGTTAAATGTATGATTTGTGGTGCGTTATTTTAGCAGCGTTCATAGAGGTTTCCTACAGAGTTGAAGATGCTCTGTATTTAAAAAAAAAACATTGTGGAGCTACAAACATTGCACTACTGATCTAATGAGGGGTGAGACGAGAAAATAAGAAAAGGTTGTTTATAAGGGCGTGAATCGTCAGAACTGATAAGCTGGAGTCCTCCACAATTCAGCTTGTTTTGTGTTTTCTATCTGTTAAAGAAGCTACATTAAAACACGTTATGATCATGCATGAGGACAAGGATGTTTTCATTATGCTACACATTTGGTTCTTAAAGTAATTTTCTTTACATGGTAGCAATGTGGACAGTAAAGGTGGTCAGCCTGGGAGTGGTGGCCCTCTCCCTCAGTCTGGAGATGCTCTTCTGGCTCTTCAGTCGTCGCCGGTCTGAAAGAATCACCAATAAGGTCCTCTTCTTCCCCTCAGAGGTGGCTTGTGTGGAGCACATCTTCTCTCCCACGTTGCCTCAGTAAGTGGAACATCAGTGAAACTTGAAGTAATTATTGTTTTCCTATATCGCTGCCAAAGGTGTTATAATGTCTATTAACTTCACCTCTTTTTAAAATCATTTTTCATCTACTTAAGTATTTTTTTCACATGAAATGAACCCTGAAAGCTAAACTTTACTTAAGTGGTCATGAATTATGACAGGTGATCTTTTGTTTTCTGCTCTTCCAGCTCCCATGTCTGCTCATTGCCTCATGGTGTAGACACCTCTTTCTCTCGTCTTCTCCGCTACATCCTGTCTGCTTGCTATTCTCTGGACTTGTGTCTTTTTTCTTTTTCCAACATGGATCTGAGTAGGGCTGTACTACTGCTGCATAGCAGGGGCGTAACTATCCGAGTCCTCACTGACAAGGTCTACTCGGCCATCAGTGGCTCCCAGATCGGTGTCCTCCGCAAAGCCGGTAAGGGAGGAGATTTGTTTTTTCTATATATGAAATGTTTTGGAAGCATACATATATATTGTAACTTGAGTCAGTGTGTGACTCAGGGTGCGATTGTTGCAAAGTGTCTCATAAATCTCACACAGGCCACTGAGACATACTGTATGTAGTCCTTTGGGTGGTGTTATTGGTAAAAAAAAAAACAGTCACACTAACCTCTGAGATCATTATTATAGACACATTTCTTTTGAGATACGAGAAGGGTGACTCAGGTCCTGCTCAAGAAATGGTGCTCAGTTTATGTTCTTTGACTTTAAGTGTCATTGTTACTATCACTGGGTTCCTTAGTTGTGATTAGAGAGAGATAAAAGGAGCTGTCTGTGTGAATGGAGGTTGCCGCTACAAGCCCTCCTATGAGTCAGACTAATCATTCTCTGAAAGATTTTGTGTCACGTGTCTGACTCATGCTGTCTCACTTTCTCTGCAACCCACTCTGCATTTAATAGATTACTCCAACCATATATCAGCCTCTGAAAACATATATCAACAATATCCCTTTTACTGCTGAACTTTGGGTCCTGTCGTCAGTAAGCTA